CTAGGAGGTATTAGAACAAACAAGTAAACATTTAGAAAGCGTTTTAAATATTTAAAAGTTAAAATGTAGAAAAACTCTTGAAATGCGTTACGGCTGCCCTGCGGAAGTTTCACTTGAACACGCTAGACACTTTACGGACGATGAAGAGGTTAAGCATCAAAGATGTAATAACATAGTGAACAAGCCCAGAAAGCAATATAGTAAAAATTAGAACTCTGTCATTAAGCCAAGTATAGACAGACTCATAAGACTAATTAAATTACTTATCAGTTTACACAGGAGTAAGTTATACAGCACAAAAATTGATAACCTCAATCTGGATGATGGTTCTTTTTGGAGTTTTGCAAGAAATCTGAAATGAGACTTCCACAACTCCTGACCAATCAAAATGTTGGACATCTTTGGGTATTCTGACAGGGAGAAATCGGATATTTTTGCAAAACACTTGAGTGATCAATTTAGGCTGAATTTCTTCCCAAACAATGATGACTTCGATGAATTTGAAACAATGATCAAAAACATCAAAGACTCGATCCAAGAATGATTTGATATATACTCATCTAATAATTTGATCAAATTCACGAATCCTCATGAAGTCGTGAAATTCATTTCACTTCACTCAAGAAATCAATTCCATAAAGGTGCCCGGAAATGATGCAATTATTAACAGAATGATGAAGAACTTCTCACGCAGCCTTGTTACAAAATTAATAAGTTTTTACATTGCATGTCTCACCAGATCTTATTTTCCAAGACCTTGGAAGCATAAGAGCATATTTTTAATGTCAAAACCTGGCAAGTTATAGGCCAATAAGTTGTCTGTTGATACTGGAAAATTTTTTAGTGTATCCTTTACAACAAACTGAAAACATACGTTAGCTGATGAGTACAGTTTCTGGTAAAGCCTATCTACTATCCACCAGCTCATCAGAATTACTGAGAGTTCATCGGTGCAGCTCTCCACAATAAATCCAATGCATTCATCCTTATGCTAGACATGACTAAAGCTTTTGACTGTGTCTAGCATAAAGAACTAATTTATAAACTTGTAAAGATAAGTTTCTCAAGAGAAATCATTCAGATCTTAGCTTCGTTCCTTGATAGCCAAACTTCCTTAATTCGGCAGGCATCTATATCTCAAAATCCTTATCCAATCCTTGTGGGCGTCTGCCAAGGATGTAATCTACAGGGTTCGTTTGGTCCTTAAAAGTCCTTAAATTTTTTAATCGATTTTTGATCCTTAAAAGTCCTTAATTTTGGCTAAAATCAGTAGAAGGTCCTTAATTTTAATCATCTGAAATTTCTCTCTGTTTTTACGACTGCCGTTTTGGGTGTGGATTAGCATTTTGGAGGAATATTTTTGGCGATTCACTGACGTATATGGTTATCTTTTGAATAGGTTCATGGGTTATAATTTATTTCTATTTCTAATATAAATGATGGAATATTCGAGTTTCTAAGCAAGAAGAGAAACATAAGCATTTCGAAATTCATTTTTTCTAATAAACAACTTTTTGCATTTGGGGTTGTGAATTCTTTTATTAAACGATTCTAAATTTGATGACTTGTTCAACATTTTGGCGATTTTAAGATCAGTTTCTATAGAAAATTTTTAATTCTGAGAGCTGAGAATTTTTCGGAAATTTTTTTAAAACATCATAACATTGATAAATTTCATTAAAATAATGGTACTGTATAGAATTATTTAAGAAATAATATTAAAAAATTTTTTTTTTCGCTTGTCGTTTATAAAGTTTCATTTGATAACTTATTATACATTTTGATCGGAAAAATAAACAAGGTATAATGCTACAAGCATAATTAAAACCCTTAGTAAACAAAATTGTTATGTAATTAATTAAAAAATGTCCTCTTTTTAATTTTTTCATATAAGCGTTTTCCATGTAATTCTCTCATTATTCGAAATTCTCCAATGCATCAGTTTTCTCTATAAAATTAATTTTACACTTTTTCCTTTTTTTTTTTTTTTTTTTTTCCAAAACATTTCTGGCTTTGCTGTTCAGAATTGGTTGGAATAATTTTTCTTTAGTATTTTGACATTGCAGCATGAAAGTTAGAAGAAATTTGAAGCAAGATTTATAGACCCACGATTCTAGAAGATTCAAGAAATAGTGACAAAATGAAAAATGTCTCCATGGTATCAACACGTAATGGATGTTTTTACAGAAAGTTGCGATGAATTGCTTACTTTTTGGAGAACTCTGAAGAACAAGGAAACATATTTGAATTTTTAACTCCTGATACTAATGTTTTTTCTTAACATTTTTCTTCCCTTTATTTTCTCTACTTTTCACTAGACACAAGCATGGAAAATATCAAAATCTTCTAATCTTATCACTTGGGCAGGCATCACAAAAAAGGTTTTTATAATAAAGAAATTGAAAACTTACAATTTAAAAAATCATCTATATTCAAATGCATCGTACGCAGAGGGTGCTAGGCATTCCCCACTCTGTGGATCCTAAATTCTGCTCCAATCCTGCTCTAAATTCTAAAAGTTTGCCATTTCTAGATTTGTTGTTTTCATCATAAATTCAAAAATTCTGCACCACCAGCTCTGTAACCGGCATATAATATATATTTTATTTCTTCTGAATGTTTGTACTAAGAAATAAAATTAACCCACTTTTTCTGTACATTCAAAGGCATTTAGGTTTTTTTAGAATAACAAATCCTTAATTAAATCAAAATTCAAAATTAAAGGAACATGTGAGAAAGAACTGACACTAAGAATTATTCTCAGAGATGGCAATTATTTTATGTAAATTACCCATTGTTTTTGATTTCAACTTACTATCACTTCCCTTTCTGTTTCTTCATTGATAGAGGTATGAGCCAGATTAAATTAAAATTAAATATAATCTTTTCCTAGTACACACTTTTAGTTTGAATTTGACTTTCTTGTTTAATTATGCACCGTAGCTGTAATTGACTTTGTTAGCATCGAACCTCCTTTATTCTAAGTGTTTTAATAAGAGGCTATTTAACCTTTTATATTTGTAGTTACTTTCAGACACAGTGATAATTTGCTTCACGTCTCTCGGTGTGGGGGAGGGGGACTATTTAACTTTTACCAGATCAAGTAAACTCTCATAGGTACTTTGTGGAGAGGTTTACAAGTTAGGAATTAAAGCACTCAAAGACTAGCAAGAGCATTGGTTTGCATATTGAGAAAAATCTCTAATTTGTTGGAAAAGATGCTTAAAGAGAAGGAAATCGATATAAACTAGCCAAAATGTTTGTGAAGGCTTGTAGAGACATTAGATATTTTTGAAAGCAGGAAAGATAAAAAAATTAACAACGCCTTTGCTGGGAATCGAACTGCGACCCCAGGAATACTGGCCCAGTGTGCAAACCACTGCACCACGAAGGCTCACCAAGAAGGTGGGTAAAATACCTTATATACTGCCCCTTTTAAAGGGCGACTGGATTTTTTAGGGGACCCAATTCTTAAATTCTGGGTGTGGAGAACCATCATCCAACACCCTTTCAGTTCGGGAAAGATGAAAAATTAACAACACCTTCGCTGGGAATCGAACTGCTGACCTCTGGAATACCAGCTCAATGTGCAAACCACTACATGAAGGCTCGCCAAGAACGTGGGAGAAATGCCTTATAGGCTTCAAATTAAAATGATGGATAAATATTTTGTTCAGTGTTGTTCTTACAAAACATAAATGTTTTCTAGCTTTTAATGTGTAATTTATCCTAACATCATTTAAGAATCAATGTCATAAAAATTGCATGTATTTTAAACTGCGAAATTTTATTAGATTTGGATTTTAATAGGGCTTTTTTTAACAAATATTGTTAAAAAGTAAAATTTAATAGTGGCCATGTAAATCTGTATGACTAAGGTATCTAATACCTAATTAATTATTATAACTAACTACTTACCCTAAAAATATCTTTCATATTAAAAAGATTATTTTCTTTTTAATATCTCTGTGGTACAAGATAAAACATGAAGGTAAAATTCAAGTAAAACTATTCTTGCATCTACTGAGACTTAAAATAATATAACAAACAACTTATCACTCTGGTGCTTTAATGGCTATTAGACCTTAAGTATATTAACTGAGTACAACCCTGAACTCTACAAAGCTATGCTTACGCATAGGCAGAGCTGATAATTTCAACACTGCCACATGCCTAATCAGGTTTTCAGGTTGAAGCAGCAGGGGACAACATCATCGTTGTCGAATCTGCGGTCATGATCTTCCTCTCATTAACTCTTACATTTGACATAAAATCTCCCGTGTATCGAACCTCAGACGACCAAGTTTTACCAATGAGACATAAAAAAAATCACATAAAGCAACTATTATAAACGAAATTCACTTATCTCTTTCAATATATCCAACTATTGTAAGGTAAATATTATTCTACTGATACATGCAGGAAGTTATTTATCTCAACTATTAGATTATGTTAAATTCAGTTTAGTAATATGCATATCTAGGGATCTGTTTAATTTTGGAATGGTTACAAGTGAAATTCAACATAAATAATATTTTAATTGAATTTATTCAGTTCTCATTTGCTCATAGGTTCTTATTTTTTTTTTTTTTTCATTAATGGTCCTTAAAAGTCCTTATAAGTACTTAATTTCCATGTGCAGAAATGTGTACGAACCCTGAATCTATCCAAGGATCTATCCTTGGACCGCTACTCTGTATTATATATGCATAGGACTTCCTGGAATTCAAGAAGGTTCTGAATACCAAAATTAAGGTCTGTTAATTACCAGCTGAATGTGCTGATCAATATGCAACAAGGAAGAAGCATAGGAGGATATTTACCTCCAATGTATATCTTTTCTCTTATGTAATAAGTTTGATGGTTTGGTTTTCCTTTCACAAATAGTTGCAATTATAAACTTAAGTTATAATGTATTGTTGTTGATGTAATTTAGATATAAACATATTTTTAAGGTATATTTTAAATTTTTGCTCATTCTTTGATTTTCCTGCATATAGGGTACAGAAATTTATGATGCAAAACAAGGCAGTTTTGTTGATTTGAGTGTTCTGGATGTAATGCAGATCTTTGGTAGAGCTGGAAGGCCTCAATTTGATAAAAAAGGAGAAGGCATTATAATTACAACTCATGATAAACTATATCACTATTCATCATTGTTAACTAGACAGCATCAGATCGAAAGCAAATTTATAGACAAAATTGCTGACAATCTTAATGCAGAAGTAAGTGCAAATTGAAAAATTATGTATGTATAATATGAAAATTAGGTTTAGATTATTGTGACATCTCTGTTTTAAATTTAAGTACACAAAATGGGTTTTATAACTTGATAATAAAAATGAAGCTTATTTTAATTGTGCTGGTATGCCAGCATAAAAACACTGTTCGAAGTGTATTATAATATAAATTGAGAATTGTGACTGTTTTTTAAAAAGGTTCAAATGTTTTTTAAGTTTATCTAGAATAAAAAAATATAAAAATCTACAGTCTCTAGATAGTATTCTTGTTAGATGAAACTATAAAAGTAAATCTAAAAGATGAAAAAATCTGTTTATCTTAATTTTATCATTTATTCTATTAATTAAGTCCACTATGAGTATGTAAACGATAAAAGTCTTCATACAGCTTTCTGTATTTTATATGTAAATTAATAAGAAATGGTAAAAATGTATGAAAGTAACTGTGTTAAAATGAATTTTTGTCATTAAATTTGCATAAAATATGTAATTAGCAACCATAACAAATGTAAAATTGTCCTAGAATTCAGGGCTGGGCAGTCTTTTCCAAGGCTACTTGTCTTTCTTCATGGCTGCTTCTGCTAGTTCTACTTCTGTTTTTCCATGGCCTACTTCTAGTTTTTTTAAAGTGCTGCAGTCCAACAGATATTTATTACAACTGAATAATAAATGCAGAATACGAACTTATCTGCATAATTAAAATAAAAAGAAAAACTTACCTCTACTTTCCTTTTTTAAAAGGATCCAACAAGGACATTGCATCTAAAATGCAAGAATAGAAAGATACAAAAAGGATAATTATATTATAGTCACACATATAATAATTATGTGTTTACTATAAAAAAATTCAAAATACTTTAAATTGTCATTTCAAATTATAAAAATAAGTGAATCATGTTCATCTGAAGTTATTTTTGAAATTATAGTTAGAAGACAATCTGCATACTTAATCTACTAATCTTTAATACCTCCATGTATAATTACTAACTGCTTGTTTTGCTTTGGATTTAAATGATTGTCTGTGAAATGGGATCCTATAAAGGTCATCCTGTATGTGCCACGAAACTTCAATTTGCAATCTAACACCTCAAAAAGTTTATCATTAGAGATTCAGGGAGTTTTTAAAATATAAAAGTTAATGAGATTAAAAAGAAATTCCAATTTGATATTGGTATGTAGTAGATTTCAACTTAATACCGATGTAAATTTAAGTTAAGCAGTTATAAATAGGCTTACTTAACTGATTTAAGAATTATTCCCTTAGAAATGAAAATTATACAACATAAGTCTTATATTTAAAATCAAATATTCAAAATGGCAAAAGTAAGAAAGAAAATTGCTGTGAATTTATTTCATTGTAAATTAACTTCATATGGAAATGTGCACTTACTTAGTTAAGAAAAGTTGTTGGCATTCCAAACATAACTGCATTTATTTTGCTGTGTACCAGGCTTGTAAAAGTATTTTACAGAAGTAAATATGCTCTGTTTTATGAGAATGAGAAACTCACAAACTGAAAGCAGTAATATTTCATATTTTTTCCGTTGAAGGTTAAAAAGAAAATTAAAAACGGAATACTTAAAATGTTTTTGTTTTTATATGAATTCATCTTATTATAGAAAGAATCACATTTTTTTTCATATTCAAATATAATTTAGTTATAACATTTTCTGTATGCAAAATTTTCAGTCTGTAAATACAGAAATATTTATCAGGAAAATAATAAATTTTATATTACTGTTCTGTAATCAGTTTTACTGTTATTTACCTTTTAGATTGCTCTTGGTACTGTTGCAAACATTGATGAAGGAGCAGAATGGCTTAGTTATACATATTTGTATGTTAGGATGCTTAGAAATCCACACTTTTATGGTTTAAAACCTTCTAAATTAAAGGTAAGTTAGCTTTAATTTAAATTTAGACCTATACAGTTACAATAGATATAGATTTTTTTTTTTCCCCTTAAAGCATATGATTAACACAGTACAAAGTCTCAGATCCGGACGTTCAATATCCGAGCCTCAAAACCGGCAACAACTTTTTTTTTTAAATGCTTTACACATGCACAGTTGATTTTTTACCCCCTAGATAAAACATGCAGAGAGTCCCGATTCTTAATATCCCTTCGGCACAATATATACTTCATTTGCAGAACAATAATTTAGCATAATTTCTGTGATCAATGGTTCGGTCCTAAGCTGCTTTCTGCTTGGCATACATCTCAAACCAATTACATAGAACATCATGGATTTACCTGTAATTATTTTATATCCCTGATGTCAACCGCGAATCACTATTTATTATATCTTCTTCATCACCGCATGTTATCACACATTACAACTTGAGTAATGACTTATGCAGTGATGCCCAAATAATTTTTCATATTAGCACAAAGAGTATAGTAATCTTTTATGTTGACATTATTATGCTTGGCAATGATTGCAGATTTAAATTAAATGTGCTAAAGTATTGACAAGGAAAAATTTAACAAAAATTTCTATCCATATTCTAAAAATAGATTTTGTTAATGATACTCATAGGCCAAAAGATTACATTTAGTGCTATTTGAATTAAGAATAACTGATTTAGATTGCTCTTGGTACTGTTGCAAACATTGATGAAGGAGCAGAATGGCTTAGTTATACATATTTGTATGTTAGGATGCTTAGAAATCCACACTTTTATGGTTTAAAACCTTCTAAATTAAAGGTAAGTTAGCTTAATTTAATTTAGACCTATACAGTTACAATAGATATAGATTTTTTTTTTTTTCCCCTTAAAGCATATGATTAACACAGTACAAAGTCTCAGATCCGGACGTTCAATATCCGAGCCTCAAAACCGGCAACAACTTTTTTTTTTAAATGCTTTACACATGCACAGTTGATTTTTTACCCCATAGATAAAACATGCAGAGAGTCCCGATTCTTAATATCCCTTCGGCACTAAATATATACTTCATTATTGAAGAAACAATAATTTAGCATACATTTCTGTGATCAATGGTTCGGTCCTAAGCTGCTTATCTGCTTGGCATACATCTCAAACCAATTTACATAGTAACATCATGGATTTTACATGTACTATTATTTTATATCCCTGATGCCAACCTGGCGAATCACTATTTATTATATCTTGCTTTCATCACCGCATGTTTATCAACACATTACAACTTGAGTCATGACTTATGCAGTGATGCCCAAATAATTTTTCATATTAGCACAAAGAGTATAGTAATCTTTTATGATGACATTATTATGCTTGGCAATGATTGCAGATTTAAATTAAATGTGCTAAAGTATTGACAAGGAAAAATTTAACAAAAATTTCTATCCATATTCTAAAAATAGATTTTGTTAATGATACTCATAGGCCAAAAGATTACATTTAGTGCTATTTGAATTAAGAATAACTGATTTGTTATTTATTCACCAACAAAATTAAAGGATGAAAATAATTTTTCATATTAGCACAAAGAGTATAGTAATCTTTTATGTTGACATTATTATGCTTGGCAATGATTGCAGATTTAAATTAAATGTGCTAAAGTATTGACAAGGAAAAATTTAACAAAAATTTCTATCCATATTCTAAAAATAGATTTTGTTAATGATACTCATAGGCCAAAAGATTACATTTAGTGCTATTTGAATTAAGAATAACTGATTTGTTATTTATTCACCAACAAAATTAAAGGATGAAAATATTTTTAGAATTTCGGGAAAGCACTGGAATCCAAAATATAGGGGTGGCAAAAATTTAGAACTTAAGAGACCCACAAAGACTGCATCAAGCAGTAAGATAGCTAGCGCCTGCCCTCAATAAGTGTGAAGTATATGTGGGAATTTATTTATTCAGGATTCAGATAAGCCTTAA